AAGGTGGTCATAAACAAATAATTTCTCAATTAAAATGAGTAGTGGCTTTGACCTGGAAATAGTATTTCAGGCTTATCAAGTGGATAGGTAAATAGGATTAACTAAATTGGCTGTAGTGTACGAGTGTGTGTGTGTGTGTGTGTGTGTGTGTGTGTGTGTGTGTGAATGAGTTATGGGTGTTTCCCAGTACTGGGTTGTGGGTAAAAGGGCATGAGCTGCACAAAAACATGCTGGAATAGTTGGTGGTTCATTCCGCTGTGGAGACCTCTGATAAATCAGAGAATAAGCCGAAGGAAATTAAACAAGTCAATATTTTAATATTATTTTCAGAAGCTTATTTTGCTTAACTAATTTGCAGGTAATTTAGCTTGTTTTGAGGGAAAACTCAACTTGCTTTTCTGAAAATAAAACAAAAATATTTACTTTTTAGACTTTTTAGATATTTGGACTAAAAACAAGACAAAAACTCTAAGAAAATCCTTTTATGCAGTGTTCTGTTTACAATGTGTTTTGTGCATCTTCATGTCGCTGAAGTATAAACTGATTTTAAAATATGATGTATATATTGTGAATATGTTTTATAACTATGATGAAATCCTCAAATATATATATATATATATATATATATAGACATGATCGTTGCAAGATTTTGCTATTTGCTGCCCAACATGCTTTTAATGTAAATGATCTGACAACGGTGCCCTCAGCAGTGTGTTGTGTCAAATTGTCCTCTTTTATATGCCTGTTTTTGAATCCCAATGCAGTCGCCTAAGGAACATCAATCTTCCCAGTGAAAAGCAGTTCCTGTGCTCCACCTGTTTGTCAAACACTCAAAAAATGGCTTCTCGTGTCTAGTTCCTAGTCCAAATATCTACAATTCCTTAAATCAAGAAGCTTTTCTAGACATTTTTGTTTTATTTTCAGTAGAAAACAAGTAATAAAGCGAGATTTTCCCTTAAACAAGCTAAATGATCTGCAAGTGGAGTAAGTCAAATAATAGTAATTCTGTTTACCCTACTGGCAGATTATTAAGCTTGTTTTAAGGAAAATTTATTAAAATTTATTTTAAATATTAGTTATTTTTATATTGAATTTAAGCATTTTTTTCTTCAGAAAACAAGATTTAGTTGTCTGGAAAACGTTTCTTGATTTAAAGGTGACCTATTATGCCTCTTTTCACAAGATGTAAAATACGTCTCTGATGTCTCCAGAGTGTGTGTGTGAAGTGTCAGCTCAAAATAGCACACAGATAATGTTTTATAACGCTCTGAAACTGACCCTTTTAAGATTTGATCCTAATTGCGGCGTTTTGGTCACTGCCTCTTTAAATTCAAATGAGATTGTGCTCTTTTCAAAAGAGGGCGGAGCTATGAACATCAATGTGTCAGTATAGCGGCAGATTCAAAACTAATGACAGACAGCTGCTTCTTATTTAGGGCTGTTTATGCTAATGAGGGAGACGTGGTCATTAGTGGGCGGACCTTTCCCCCTCTGATGACATCATTCAAAGGGAGAATGTTAAAGTGTTTCAGCAGACTGTTTGGTCCCACTTTATATTAAGTGGCCTTAACTAACTAATATGTACTTACACAGGAATTAATAGTTTGTTGCAATGTACTTATTGTGTAAATACATGTATTTACTGTGTACTTATGCTTGATTAAGTACATGTATGTAATTACATCTGTATTTAACTTCTGTAATTACATTTGTAAATACACTGTTGACCCCCCTTTAAACCTTAACCCTCCCTTAAACCTACCCACACCACCAAACCTGTCCATAACCCAACCTCTATCCTTACTCAAAAGCACCACAAGTGTTCTCAAATACATCATAAACACAGTAAGTACATTGTATTTATTTTTTTGATGTAAGTACATAGTAAAGGACACTTAATATAAAGTGGGACCGACTGTTTTTATCAAGTGTAATTAAAAAAATACAATTAATTTATTGTTCTGTTTAGAAGCTGACTATATTCACTGATGACACACAACTGTTTAAACCCCTTATATACTTGATTTTTGCATAATAGGTCCCCTTTTTTCGATAGTTGGACTAGAAAGAAAAGGCTTTTCTTGCAGTGTAACCATTAAGAAAAGCCTTGAAAACAGAAGAAATCATTGGTAGATTGACTTCTCAGCTGTTTCTCTGTGATTAACAGATGTTTTTTTGGACACTTTGTGTTTGCTGTAGGATACTAGGCTGGTGTGCAATGTCTCTTGAAACCCAAAATGTCTTGGTTTGTTCAGATCTGTTTTGCGACAAATTAACTTTTGTGCAAAACATTTCGTCAAATAAGCTGATGCTACATTTTTCTGAACGTTTTTTTTTTCTGATGTGTACACAACGAATTCATGAACATTAAAGTGCTTTATTTTCTTATTTTTAGCTTGGATCTGACATTATTTCATAAGGGTTTCCCAATGATGAGGTGTTAATATTACAAAATATTAGAAAAAATTCACACTTTACTATAAGCTTCAATGCGGTAACACTTTAATTTGATGGTCCATTTGAGTATTAGTAGACTGTCTGCTTAATATCTGCTGAAACTGCTGCTGAACAGACATTATACTGACTATAAGAAACTTTGCAAATACATGTCAACTTACACTAACACTAACCTGACAGTCTACTTATAATCTGGAGTAAATATAGTAAAGTAAAATAATAGTAATTCTGTTTACCCTCCTGGCAGACTTTTTAGCTTGTTTTAAGGAAAAACCTGCTTAAACTTTACTTTATTTTAATTATTAGTTATTTCAACACAATCTCACGGCAATTCGTAACTTTTTCATTTAGTGGCTAATTCGTAATAATTCGTACGATCTAATTCGTACAATTTAGTACGATTTGCTCATCCCCCAATGACGGTTGGGGTTAGGGGTGGGGTCAGGTGCCACGCCTCCTTTTTAAAATCGTACTATTTCGTACGACTGAACTGGTACGAATTCGTACGAATTAGCCACTAAACTGGCAAAACGTAAAATACTTACGTTTTCTCGTGAGATCAGGCTGGTTATTTTTATATTGACTTTACGCATTTCTTTCTTCATAAAACAAGATTTAGTTGTCTGGAAAATGTTTCTTGATTTAAAGGTGACCTATTATGCCTCTTTTTACAAGATAGCACACAGATAATGTTTTATAACTATCTGAAACGGACCCTTTTAGGATTTGATCTTAATTGCAGTGTTTTGTAATATTCTGGAATATTTACCAGAAATATTCCAGCAGCTAGCTCTCTGCAACTCTCACATGGTCGCCCACTGAAACTAAGCAGGGCTGTGCCCGGTCTGTACCCTGGATGGGAGACTTCATGGAAAGCTAGGTTTGCCTGCCAGAAGTGGTGTTATTGAGACCAGCAGGGGGCGGCTTAACTTGCATTATGTGTGGGTCCTAATGCCCCAGTATAGTGACGGGGATACTCAGTGAGCGCCATCTTTCGGATAATACGTTAAACCGAGGTCATTAAAATTCCCAGGATGTCCTTCTATAAAGAGTAGGGGTTTAACCCCGGTATCCTGGACAAATCTGGCCACTGGCCTCTGTCCATCATGGCCTCCTAACCATCCCCATATCATAATTGGCTTCACCACTCTTCTCCTCTCCACCAATCAGCTGCATGTGTGGTGTGCTGTCTGGCGTAAAAAGGCTGCCGTCGCGTCATCCAGGCGGATGCTGCACACTGGTGGTGGAAGAGGAGCTCCCCACCCCCACCCCCCGGTGCTCCGGTTTCCCCCAAAGTCCTAAGACATGTGGCACAGGTGTATTAAGTAGGCTAAATTGTCCGTAGTTAGTGTGAATGAGAGTGTGGATATTTCCCAGAGATGAATTGCGGCTGGAAGGGCATCCGCTCCGTAAAAAACGCTGGATAAGTTGGTGGTTCATTCCGTTGTGGCGACCTTAGATTAATAAAGAGACTAAGCCAAAAAGAAAATGAATGAATGAATGAATGAATGAATGAAATGTATCTCCCACCCTCAATCTTGAAGAAGTGCAGCAGTCAAACTAGGTAAAGATTTAGTTTAAAAACTAAATAGTTTATATATAATTTTAAGCTGTGAATTCATTTTAAGAAAACAAATCATTTAAAAAGACAAAATATAGAAAAGGAGTGATAAAAAAAGCCAAATAAAGCAATTAAAAATAAATTAAATATAATAAATTAAAGTACAAAAGGTGCATTTTAGAACTTTTGGGCTCCATGGCCGGAATTGCTTAGGGCCCCCAAATCACTAAATGTGCCCCTGCCGAGAAGAGAACCGTTAAAGTACCGAACCGATAAGTGGTATCGATAAAAGTAGTAGTACCGTTAAAACCTTAACAATACCCATCCCTACTCATTATGCTTTGATGCATTTTTACATATGCACCATACATGACTCAGCAATTTGTGTAGGCGCAATCTTGATCAAAAAGTTAATCTGCTACATGA